GAAGACAAGGATAACTAATAAGAAAGAGCAAATGATAAGGCTACCATGCAATCTATTCAAGACTTATTACTTGAGAAATAAATGCTGACCTTAAGTCACTTAAGTCAGGTCTGTATTAGTAGCAAATGCAACTCCTGATATTTAGGCCTTGCATGACTTTTTAAACTATGTAAATGGATAAAAATTTATTGAAAGGGTTCCAATAGCAAGAATTGGTAAAAATGTATTATGCCTTGAGAAACTACTCATAGAACTATAACTATAGTGTTAATAAGAATTGTTTCTTCCTAAGACAAAAAAAAAATTTTTTTTTGAGTTGAAGTCTCACTCTGTTGCCCAGGTTGGTATTACAGAGGCAGATCACAGCCAACCGCAGCCTCGACCTCCTGGACTCAGTCCATCCTTCTGCCTCAGCCTTCCAAGTAGCTGAAACTACAGTGTGCGCCACCACACCCAGCTATTTTTATTTTATTTTTTAATTTTAGAGACAAGGTCTTGCCATGCTGCCCAGGCTGGTCTTAAACTCCTGGGCTCAGGCAATCCTCTAACCTTAGCCTCCCAAAGTGCTGGGCTGACAGGCATGTGCCACCATGCCCAGTCACAAATTTTAATTTCTCTAAAATAAGAGACATTAGCATGTTATTTTGTAAAACAAAGAGCCCTTTCTTCTGTTAAAATTGTCTTTTAAATACCTATTACAGTGCCTGCCCCACAGGAGTTACTTAAAAATTATTTGAGGATCATTAACTACTTTTTGTCACTTATGTCAGCATTACAGATGTAGAGTACCTACTGAAAGTTCCAACATAAGAGTATAGCAAGGTTTCTCAGCCTCAGCACTACTGATATTTTGGGCCAGAGAATTCTTTGTTGTGGAGGCTATCCTGGGCATTGTAGGATGTTCAGCTGCATCTCTGGTCTCTGTGCACTAGATGCCAGCAACAAACCCCAATCATGACAATCAAAAACACCTCCTGACACTGCCAAATGTCCCATGCAAGAAACAAAATCTGAGACTCCTGCCAGAAAGAAAATATCCTTAAATAACAGAATTTAAGAATGGTAATCACTGCTAAATTTTTTTCTAAAGTCTATTGTGGGAAACAAACTATAAGCTACCTACAGATTAGACAATCCTAATGTCCCTCTTATATCCTCAGAGGATTTCACAAGACAGAAATATAAATAGCTTCTATTTAAGCCTATCTACGTGCTAGGTAGAGTCCTAAGCACTTTATGTTCATGCTCTCATTTTATATTCATGACATCCTTACGGGATGGCTATTAACCCTGTAGTATAAAGCAATTTTAAAGTCTATTTTAATCAACATTTCAAAATGTTTCCAAAAATATTTAATACTCACTGTATTCACTCTGGCACTGAACTCAGAAAGTAATCTTGACTTGATTAGTTTACAATCAATTCATGGCAAAAATTGTAATCTATTTTATATTTGGTGACAAAATAAATTTTTTAAAATTTCAGGAACGAGAAATGTCCATAGGCACCTAACAATTCAGAGAGATAATTCTCATCTGTTTCTTGAAGCGCTTTTTAAACTTTTCATCCATGATTCCCAAATTACTTCCAGTAAATTATCTTTTCCTTTGCACCATTTCCCAAAAAAGAAAACAAAAAATCCCTGCATAATTTTTTGAGGACTTATTTGTCATTTCAAACTGCCTTTCAGTAGAAACTGAAGGCTGTGTTCAAATCCCAGCTTGAGAGCTACTGGAAGTGAAGATAAACTAACTTGCTCAGTCCTCAGTTTCAACTATGTAACTTGCTAAGAGAGTAAGGCTAAGAGAGTAGGCCCTTGATAAGAGTTTTTCCCCTACCTTTCATCCGCAAAGCAAATTAAGTATGTGGTCAGGGCCAATTCTATTAAAATATTTACTGAGAGCCTACTAATGACAGCCAAGAAAGGAGGTGATAGGGCCGGTTGGTTCAGCGTTACACTGTATCTTCTGTTTTACTTCTTCTTCCTGGTGAAAGACACAAAAACCTCTCTTGAAAAGAAGTGTTCCTTCCTCTCTCCCTTTACCCACACTACTAACTGCCAAGAAATTTTGATTCATATTTCCCTCTAAAAGGACGAAGACAAATTGAAGTCTTTCTTCTCAACACAACTAGGCTGTGTGTATAATTCATATATTTAGCTGTCGCCCACCAGAGTGCATATTATCCATTTTATGGATTACTCACGAGTAAGTCATTTATTAATAAATACAAATCACCTAATATTACCCTCAGTAAATGTTAGAAAACCAAATCTTTAAAAAGAAACAATCTTTGGGCATTAGATTATATAATGCACTGCTTAATTTGCTGGCAAATAAAACAGAATTATTATGGCAGCATTTTAGTAATCAGCAGCTAAAATCCAGCTTAATAAAGGTAATTTTTTATTCCATCTAAAAGTCTTAACATAAAAAAGGACTTCACGAAGCTCACCCGCAAAGTAGAACCAAGACAGGGACTCCCCGGTGAACAGTCCTTCTGGTCATCTAGAGTATTACAGACTATGTAATAAGGTTTCAGGTAAAAGGTGATAACAAGAAAGTAAAGCCTAACACTCATAATTCAGCAAAATAAAAGAAAAATTCATCAAGTTATTCCTGTTTAGTTTTATTTTCATGGCTGTTTGGGAGGCAATGAAATTGTCAACTTCATTTGTTCGTAAAATATTTTACTGTCACTATTCAGACACTGTACTACCCAAGCTAAAGCTGTTCATTTGTTCTAAAAATTTAACTCAAGAAGCAGATAAGAGTAACTAAAAGTTCTCAAAAAATGTTCTAGATCTAAAATGAAATTTCAGATTCTATAGCCATTAAGGGTTTACTTGATCAGGTAAATCAGCAAAGATAAACATAACCAAACCAAGTTCCTTGTTAATGATATAAAAAGCAAAACAAAATATATTAAAAATATCAATTGTATCCTAATTTTCAAAAACTTAAAATTCCTGCAGATACAAAATCTACCAATAACATGGTTTCTAGACGTAAAAGGTGTATTTAGAAAATAAGTGCTCTAAAACTCTAAACCTCTAAATCCAGTGAATGCCAATGATCTATTATCTAAATAAAAATCAATTTCAAGAAAGTCACTAAATGGAGAGCAATGCCAAAGAACTTGACACACCCTTTCAACCTCCAAACCAACTTATAACACTGCGGGGGGGGGGGAGATGAGATCAAAGGCAATTTAAACCAAAGCATTAAAAACTTACCTGAAAATGTCTAAATCCTTTTTCTTTCAATGCTAGGAAGGGCATAAAATCAAATGTCAGCAAGCACTTTGCCCACTTCTGTTAACTTTATTTCCTACATCAGAATGAAATTAACAGCTAACTGATCCAAACCCTTTACATATTTGCTCATTTAACTACTATTCCTCTTTGACAGAGGGGAAACCGAGGCATGGAGAGGTCAAGTACCTAGTCCAGGGGAACACAGTTAGGAGCTGGGGGAGCCAGGACTTGAGCTCAACACATGCAAAATAACAAGCACATCTTAAAAGGGATGAGACAGAAAAGAAGCGATTTTTTTCCAAAACGGCTTGCACAACCAGAGTGTTGCGGAGGAGAGCAAAACGTCTAAGTTGTCAACGTCAGCAGGCGAGGGTGCAAACTTCGCCCCCGACGGGACTGGGCTGCACGGACTGCAAGCACGTCGAGCAGCGCCAGCACGGCGACAGCCGACCAGGAAGCCG